AACTTCATTAAAAAAAATATTATATGAAACAATTTCACAAGATTAAACAATTTCATGAAAAAATTTCATAAGATTAAACAATGAAATCGCCGGATGAAGGTGGTTTGCACGGTTTACACAAATGAAGGCGGTTTTCATTTGATCACTCCTATATATATATATAGAGAGAGAGAGAGAGAGAGAGAAAGAGAGAGAGAGAGAGATACTTTGTTAGTAGAGATAAGGTACGACTTAAATAGTGTTCCCTAACCTTTGACTAATAAAATTCAGGTTACAGATACAAAATATGTAAATATTTCTCTTTACTTTATACAATTTTTTTTGGATTATAGATATTAAGACAACCATATCAAACAATCCTAATTGGTGTGCTCATTTAATATTTTCAATAAGTAAACAATTGTTTAAGAAAGCGAAGATGTTAATGTTAAATATGAATATGAGTATGAGTTGGTCAACCTCTCAACTTCAACAAAACTTCTCATCCTTAGTTGCCACCCACTCTTCATTCTCTACCCTTCTTTTCTTTATTCACTTCACCTAAACATAATTATACTTCTTTCACCTTTTTTTATATTACAAAATTAATATATTTATTGACATAAAAAATCATTTATATTTTCGTTATTAATTATTATTCCATTGAACATAACTAATTTATAAATTAGTTATGTTCGATAAAAACTAATTAATAAACCAGATAACAATATAAAATGACCTAATCAATCAACAACTATTTTATTAGATAATTTATCGAACATAACTAATTTGCATGCTTTTTTTTTTTGCTTTAAGACACTAATTTTCATTATTTAACTTTATTAAAATATATTTTTTCTTGAAAAGAAAACAATTAAACCAAAAAAAAATTCTAACCGCAAAAGACAAAATTAAATAAATGACATTATAAATAATTAAATACTATGGGAAGAGACACACAACTTTATAATGCTGTCTGAATCAAAAGATATAATAACATTATTTACACTATAAATATTAATTAAAAACTAAAAAATTAATTGTTGCTTTTTTGGAGGGCTTTGCAACAGTTCTTGCATCCACGTTTGAAAGTATTGAATCAAACATAATGAGTTGAACTAGCACTAATATCATATGTAATAATTTATCCAGTAAACGATAATCAGATGAGAGCCATAATTTCACTTACCGGGTAAGACTCTCGGTTCTTGTGGTTACTCATACCGAGTGAAGTTTTTGGACGTTGCCATATCCATTCAGTAGGTAAGTAGCCCGATAATAAATGGTTTCTTCCACGATTTTGTTTGTTTTATCTAAAAGTTATGATTTATGTGACCCGATATTCAGATACCCATTTATTGATGTATTTTCAAGCCGAAATTTTTGTTTCAGGTTTTTTTTTTTATTATTAACATGAATATCTAATCCGCTATGCGAGCCGACTAATCACAGGACGACCACCTGCTTTGTAGATTGCCCAGAGTCATCGCATTTGAATCTTCGTGGCCACAAGAGAATTTTTATTCCTCCTTTGATTTAAACCTGGGAGTTCCTGGTACTTTTGACCTTTGCAGTCAAGCTCAAACCAATCAGGCACCAACTTTGTGGTTTGTTTCAGGTTTTTCGAATATCATACCTTCAATAACCATTGATCCATGATCATTTTATGTGTTTTTAATTCATCCAACATAATTCAAAGATTTTGTACTTAAAATGTTTTAAGACAAAGTATTTATGAAATTCTATTTTGTTTAAAAATGCATAAAATAAGGTATTAAAGTATTAGAAAATAAAAAAGATTGGGTGAAGAAGTGTTGACTTAAAATAATATATAAAAAAAGAAAAATAGAAATTAATTAATTATAAAAAGAGAAAGAGAAAAAGGAAAAGGTTTATTATTTAACTCTTATTTATTTCTTAATGTTTTTTGGCCAACATAATTTACGGATCAACCTCATCTTCTATCATTTGAAAATTATATATTTCATTATTATAATTTTATTAAAATAAAATAAAATCAATAATTCCATCATGATATTTGATTCTATATCAAGCTTTTAAAAATATGCATTTTTGATGTTGTTGTTTATAAATAAACGGTATTAAAAGCGACATTTGCTGCTTGATATTGTGTTCATGGTTATATTTTACGTATCAGTAGTATTCAAAAGGTAACGTATGTGATTAACGTTTTCTCCATTACTACATGTATTTGATTCAACAAACACCGACTTGGTTGATGATTCAGCAAAATGACCCGTTTTAATAAATAGTAGCTTCTTTTATTTGATAAGAGTTAATAAATGGCAAGTAAAGAGTCTCTCAGAGTTGAATTTTGTGGATGTATTTGAAATCTGTAAAGTGTTTGGTTTAAGGATTTGAAATCAAATCAAATTTCGTTATTTATGTATAACTTATATAAATAAACTATAAAAAAAATTTATCTTTTTATTAATTCACTATTGTAAAAATTTTAATATATATTTTAAAACATTATTACAACATGTTATTAAATCTCGCGAAATACTAACCACCCCACAAGATTTTCAAAATTTTATGTTTGTATGATTTCATTAAAGTTCCGTTATTTCAATTCTAGACTTTTCTTTAACCAAACGTGGGATTGAAATAGAATCCAAATTCCGGATCTTGTTCGGTTGTAGGATTCAGATGAATTTGGAATTCAATTCCATTTAAATGTCATGTTTTGGATTGAAATCCCACTAATATGGGATTTAGAAATTTCATAAGGTTTGTTGGTATTTTATTGGATTTTGTAGGATTTGTGTGCAATAACGTTTAAAAAGATTTTAACAACATTTGTCTTGTAATAATCAATTAATAAAAAGATAATTTAAGTATTTTTATAAGTCACCACAGATCTGAACCATCATGGACCACCACCGATCTGAATCTGCGTGGACCACCATCAATCTAAACTACGGTCAGCAATCGTCAATCTAAACCACCGTGACCACCAGCGAATTAGATATTTTACATGATAAAGAATTAGGTGGCGTTTGTTTTTTAAGAGGTGCTGAAGTCTGAAGTCTGAATTCACTTCTGATTTTTAAGAGGTGGTGCTGAAGTCTGAAATCTGAATCAAGCAGACTGTTTGTTTTTTGCGTCTGAAATCTAAAGTTTGAAGATGAGAGATCGAGAGTTGGTATGGATCGACAGTTGACAGAGTTGAGAGATCGAGACATAAAAGTTGATCCAGAGAAATCGAGCGTAAAGAGATCAGAGTAGGTAGGCGACGATTTGAAATAAGAGGTTTTTCAACCACTTAAATTTTCAGACCTAATAAGAGCTTTTAAGCTCTTAATTGAAAAAAAAAAAAACAAACACACTGAATCCTCTTATGTCTGACCGATTCAGACTTAAGAGGACATTAAGAGCTTTTTTATTAAAAACAAACAGCCCCTTAGCTTTTTTGAGACAATTTTAATATCGATTTAGTAATGTCGCTTGGTTTATGGCATTTGGCTTGTGTATTTTATATTGTTTATACATTAAATAATTATTTTATTAAAGTACTTATAGTTTAAAAAAAAATCAAAAGATAATTTTAGTCATTTACCAATATTTCATTCTAATTCCAAAGTTACATCACGTGAATCAAACAAACAAATTCCAATTCCTTAACAGATTTCATTTCAGGGTCTGCCAACCAACAAGATGGCAAAACCTGATAACATTTCATTCCAATTCCTTCAAAGTCAAATTTTTTTTAACAGATTCAATTTCATCCAAAAACATTTTACGAACCAAACGTCACCGTAGTATTTATCTTCTCTTTTGAATATAACAGTGTTAAGATGATGAAGCCAAAATTATCATATTTATAAACTACAATAACAACGAACCATTTTTTTAAATAACTATTTTCAGTATAGCATGAACAAGTATCAAGAGGTCTCAGGTTCAAATCCAATGAGTAATAAAAAATTTCTTGTGATCACAAAGGTTCAAATGCGGTGATTCCCATACCATCTGCAAAGCAGGCAGTCGTCTTGGAATTAGTCGGCTCGTATACCGAGTTGGATATCCAAGGTAATAAAAAATATATCAAATATTTGAGATATATGAGGTAAGTTAAATGTTCAATAGAAGATTTAAAGCATAAAAACCAAAACGGCGTCACATAAAGCATTTGGACCAATGGTTACAATTAATTTCAAAAACACCCCTTGATGTTTGTTAGACTTGATAGACGGTCGCCGGAGAAATAGCTGATAAACTTGTCGTACGTCTTTTTTTTTCTTTGAAAAGGTCAGTAGTCGGAAGTCAACGGCCAACATCACGGAGAGTCTTTGACAGAGACCCCATTAGCCGACTGAACTGTTAAGACGGACATGTTGGGGGAGGAGGGCCCACCACCCTCTCCACCACCGCCTAACGACGGGAGGTTGCTCCTAGAGGCGGAGGAAGGGTTACAGGTGGCAGTGGAGATAGCAGTAGCGAGTGAAATCGGCATAAGGCAAAGACCTTTCCCTTGTAAATACTGCATGGCGGACCCCATATCCTCCTCCATCAGCTTCACCACCTGATTCTCCGTTACCGTCATGGTGTCATTGTTTGAGGATGACGCCGTCCCGTTACTGCTCCGCCCTACACCACTGCCCTGTAAACAAACGGCAAAACATAAGCTTAATTTGTGCATGGGGGTAGAAATGTAATTTTGGGGAGAGGGAGATGGAATCTGGGAAAGTAAGGAGTGTGCTTTTTTTATATTTGTCGTTTTATATGGTGGGGACCTCTTATGATGCAGAAAGTAACAAAGATTGGTTTTTTAAGGTGTCTTTCTATTTAATGAAACTTTCAAACAAACAAATTATCCAAAAATGTAATATCATTTTCAAAAAAAAAAAAAAACAAATATGTAAGGCGTCAGAAAAGGTTGTTTTCGTGAAACACAAATTTACATTAGAAACCTGACTTCACAACAAAGACACTGTGAAGGTCACTTTTACAGTGTTTTGTTGTGAAGTTTCAAGTGTAAAACTCGTGTCTCACGAAAACAGTTTTGTCTCACATGATCCCAAGTATATATATATATATATGTGTGTGTGTGTGTGTTAGATGCATTGAGGGTGGTTATCTTAGGTGTTTTTTTATTTGTTTATAAAGATAGGGTGGGTGCGGGTTGTATTATACCTCGGCAACAACGGGAGCAATGGCACCAGCAGCTGCACCTCCCAATCTGCTCATACTCAGCACCTGGAATGACAATATTTGGATCTCCATAGAATTTCGATGTATACATTTTATAATAAAACAAATTATTTGCGGATTTATTGACATTTTGATGATTTTAAAAAAGAAATGACTAAAAGATGAAACCACAAATTAAAAATGATTGTTTTAATTAATTTCCCAATTTAATAGACCTTACACAAATGTAAAATTTAAGGGTAGGATGCAAATAAGTCTTGTATTTACCAAGATGATATGTATGCACCGGGGGAAAGGCCCTCAATCAAAGACCAAAAACGTTTGTTGACTGACTTAAATTTTTATTTTCACCCTCGTCTTACATGGTTTCCCCCCAGTCCCATATCCCATATGGTTATATGCTTCCGTCCCCAAGTCCCATCTAACGTACCCCGCCCTATTAATTTCCTGGATCCATCACTGTATATGCATATATATATATATATATATATGTTTTGTATATGTATCATATACATATAGACAATAGGTAGAGAAAGAGAAGGAAGAGGTACCTTGACTTGGAGCTGGAGGAATTTGACATAGTCTATGATCTCATCTAGCATTGAAGCCTTGTCTGTCTGTCATTCCACATCCCCCCATTAGATAATATATTACAGTCCAGATTTACTTATATAAATAAATAAAATTACTAATTTTTTTTATAATTTTATTTGAAAAATAAACTGACTCAAAAAGAATATATATATATATATATATATATATATATATTATTTGGAATTAAAGAGTAGTTATAGATAATATTAAAATAACTTCCCCCACATAACCATCATCTCACTATCATTATTCGAAACCTCTCTCCGTATAATCTGCTTTCCAGCTTCAGTTTCAGCTACGCACGGAATTCTATAATAAATAAATAAAAAATAACCTCACGCGCCACCAACCCCATCTCTCTCATCCACCGCCTGCCGGAGTTAATGGTTGTGAAACGCTTACCTTGTTGGCATTCGGGACCAGTTCCTGTAGAGCTTTCATCCTCTCCGCAATCCTCTCCCGCCGTAACTGCCAATTGCCGGTTCCATTATAAAAGAACAACAAAAATCTGAAACATAAAACGAGGTTGCTATAAAACAAAACGATGCTTATGTTTTACTCTTTCGGCTATGCTGTGTGGGTCAGTTGCTTGTCCTCTTCTGGCTCTCACTCTTTGTCGCGGCTGCGATGGTACTCCACCACCGCCACCTCCCGCTGATGTCTGTACTTGGTTCATCACCGCCGTTGCCGTTCCCGGAGATCCGAAGTTTTGGGCCTGCGGTCGAGTCAATTTTATAATTTTAAGATAATAATAAGAATGGGTTTCGCAAATACTAAACTTACCGGTGGATTACGGAATTGCTGGGTTTGGTTGGATGTCAGAGATCCGGTGAACCCATGAAATAGATTTTGAATTGAAGTATTATCTCCAATCTGTATAAAATCAGTATGTTTAGAATTTACAAATATTTTACTGTAAATATTAATAATCAGTTACCGGCGACTTGAAAGATGAATCGTCGATGTTATCGTTTCCAAAGAGGCCGGATTCACCGGCACCTCTAGACAGTTGCAACGATTTCAGCGCAGAAGACGGAGTACGACCTCCGGCGGCGGCGCTGATCTGATGTTGGCGGAGCTTGGATGATAGAAATGCTGACTGATCATCGAAATGGTCAACGTCCCAGGGGAGTAGTGGTGATTTGTTTTGACCACCTCCACCGTTGCCGGCTGATATGTCCGGCCAGGAAACGGTGGTTTGCAACCCGGAAAGCATTTGATCAAGAAAATCGTCATGAGTAACCGTCGGATCAAAGCTGTTGGTATCGTCTTGAAGAGACATTTGAGATTCCTGAGTTTTTCTTTAAAGAAACACACACTTACAACTCTGAATCATTAACAAATAACAATACAAACACACACACACACACATATATATAAATACATACCTGGGAAAACGTGAAAGATTTAAGAATGTCGAAAATGGAGTTATGGTAGAGTTTGAGAAGAAGCATTCAACAACATTAATAATAAATACAATGAATGGGTTGTTGTTTAATCTTGCTTTCTAGTTTCGTATGTTTTGGGCTTTGCCTTTCTCTGCTTTCCTTTCATCTTTTATCAGGGACTACTTATAAATAGCCGACCATCCTTCCCTTTTCTTCCTATGTGAACCGGATAATCACAATACGTCCACTTACTTTGCGGGTAGTTTGAAGTTACCGCATTTGAACCTCCGTGGTCACATGAGGATTCTTATTCCTCATTGGATTTGAACATGAGACCTCCAGACACTTTTAATCTTTAGAGCTCAAACTAATCAGGCACCACCCTTAGTATTTTTAATGATTCGAACATATATTAAAAGAAAAAATGTGTTTACGAAATATTATAAGAAGTAATTCTACTACCGAAAGTAAAGGGTTGTTTGTTGACAATTTACCTCTTAATAGTTTCATTAAGAGGTAGTCTCTGAATCGTTAAAAGATGAATCTTGTTTGGCGAAAAAAAAAATATGTCTCTTAATGGTTCTAAAACTCTCTTAGGGTGTGTTTGGTGCGCAGACAGGACTGGACAGGACAGGACGGGACAGGACGGGACAGGACATGACAGGACAGCCGTTCAGCGTTTGGTAAAACAGGACAGGACAGAACAGAACAGGTTAAAATGACCAATTTACCCCCGTGATCTGTTTAGTGTTTTTTCACTACGAAATCAAGTAAACTCTCATAATCAATTCAGCAATCATAATCAATGTAAACCAATTGATCAACAACAACATTCAGCAATAGCTACCAACTAAATCGATTCAAACATACAAACCCTAAATCGATTCAACATTCAGCAATAGCTACCAACTAAATCGATTCAAACATACAAACCCTAAATCGATTCAAACATACAAACCCTAAATAGATTCAAACATACAAACCCTAAATAGATTCAAACATAGCGATGGAGAAGGAGAAGGTTAGGGCAATCATGTACCTGATGAAGGAGAAGGTAATGCGATGGAGGCGGACTGTGTGTATGGACTAGAACTCCCGTCGCCGTCGCCGTCGCCGATTGAGGGTGTGCAATGGAGGCAGTCTGAACATGGAGGGCGATAGGGAAGGACGCACGATGAGTGAGGAGTCGCAGATCAGGAGGGCGATAGGGAAGGACGCGCGATGNCGATGAGTGAGGAGTCGCAGATCAGGAGGGCGATAGGGAAGGACGCGCGATGGAGGCAGTCTGAACGGAGATCGGCGCATCTCCGGGAGACGAGATTGATAGGTTATGTGAGAGGAGAGATGGAGGAGAGGAGAGATCGATGGAGGGACGCTGTGAAGGGGATGAAGGAGACGGTGGAAGGGGATGAAGATGAAGGAGACGGTGGAAGGGGATGAAGGAGACGGTGGAAGGGATTGAGGGTAAAGTGGTAAAAATTTCCTTGTTCTAGTTAGTTCTAGGGGTAATAGGTGGACTCCCGTGTCCCACTTTTGTTCTAGTTAGTTCTAGTTAGTCCCACATAAAGTCATACCAAACATAGGACAATTGTGTTCTGTTCTGTCCTGTTCCACCCTGTTCCACGTACCAAACACACCCTTAATGACTTTGTATCATAAGCATCTCTTAACCATTTAGTGCCCTAATTTCGTTGTAAATAATTACTAAATAATTATATTTCATTTTGTACTATATCATGAGAAACTTATAATCATTCTGACCACTTAATCATTTTGCACCAAACCATTCAGCAACTGTCAAACAGCCCTTAATCACTTTCAATCGGTCTGCTGAAAAGCATGCTCTAATATATTGCTTTAAGAACTTTAATTTTTTTACTATTCAAATTTAATTTTGTAGAAAGTGGCTCTAAGGAGTCAAAAAGCTATCTTAGTGAAAGTGTTAAAAGGGACTAAAGGGTACTATTAATGAACCTAAAGGACCTTTAGAGATTTTCTTTTTATCCATATTGGGGTAAAAGTGTAAATCAAAAGATCACGAAGTTACAAAAATGGTCCTTGAACTAGATTTGACCTTTGCTTTTGGTCCCTTGTGAAAGTTGTCTACGTTTTTCTAGTTTCTAATACAATTGTTCCTAAACTATGTCCGTCCTTTTTTTAACTTTAGTTAACCCATTTAATCGGAAGAGTAAAATATATCAAATAAAAATTGTCTAAAATTTAAAAACCATTAAAATTTATTTTGTATATATTATTTCATAAATGAAATAACTTATGAGAAGATGCAGTGTTATTTCATAAATGAAACTGAATAATGTTTTTCATGTGAAAAAACACAAAAATACGTTTATATAATTATACATGAAAAATACATTCATACTCACATACAAGAACAAAAGATGTGAAACGGTGTGAAACAAAGCTTCAAAATGGAATTCATTGGACGGTTTTGATTAATTTCATGAGTATGGTTTTTGCATATATTGTTTCACCTACTAAACAATATATGAACTTGGTTTTTAAGGTTTCCAACTTTTAGAGAGTTACTATTTGTAAGTTTTATATGTCCACTACACGTAGGAGTGCTCGTGGGTTGAGTTTATCGGGTTTTAAATATTTGAACAACTCTACCCAATGTCTGCAGTTTGAAAAATCTAAAATCCAACCCAATCCAAATCAAAGTGCAACCCAATCCAACCTAAACTGTACGGGTTGGTCGGGTTGATAATTTGGTATCTTAAATATGTTATTTCTCTATTCATAATTTATTTTCCATCATCAACCATTTGATATAACTTATACATATTTCTTAAATCTTACGTATATCACATTCAATTAATTTTCTCAATGACGTATATAGAGATGAAGAATAGATTGAAAATATGTGTATATGAAGAGGGTATATGATAGTGTAATTGTCTAATGTATATTAATAGAAACTCAACAATCATACTAAATCCAAGAAATACAAAGATATCGGGTTCATCTGATTGAGTTGGGTTCAAATAATAGTAACTCAATACCTACGGTTTGAAAATTTTACAACTCGATTAGACATTGGGTTGTTTGGATTGAGTTGTTTCGTGATGGGTTGGGTTGGGTTGGGCTGGTCGGGTTTTTGAGCACCCCTAGCTACATGTATGATCACACAGTAATACTGCTATAAATTACGTAAACCTACAGGGTCGCACGCAAAGAATTCATATATTTTGATTTTAGAGATGATCAGATAAAAACAAAAAAGAAATATTTTTCCTTTCTCTTAGAAACACACTAAAATCTAGGGTTTCAGGCTATCACTCTGTGGAGGCCAGACATGTTCATGTGTCGATCTACATAGAGGAAACCTACTTTGGTTTCCAGTGCTCCGTTAAAATCTACTAAGAATCTCAAACGTAATATCTAAACACTCTGTAATATTTAATCGACGATAATAAAGGAAATAAAACGAGAACACCAAGATTTTACGTGGAAAAACCCTTGCGGGAAAAAACCACAGGCACAACCGAWGATATCACTATATGAGAAAAATGAGGAAGTTACAAGAGTTTATAAGTATYTCAATCTCTCTATCGTCTCTTCTCTAGCTCTCCTTCAATACCCTTTTCTTTCTTATGAATGAATGGAGAATATATATTTGAAAGTAAAACAACTATTCTGCATAAATTGAGATAATAACCGAAATATTAGAAGACTTTTGTCTTCCCCTATTAATTGCTTCCGATTAGTCTTCCATAATTTATGCCAAAATGCAGTTACCATTCAGGAGGAAATACGTATCATTCTCAACACACTCTATGGTTTGTTTAGATTCATTTAAATATGTCATTGAATTTGAATATGGTTTCTTTTTATGAAAAAGTTTTCTAAGAAGAGCAACCTGGAATTATTTAAAATCAATTTTGACATATTTTTTCATCTGTTTTTCATGATTCTCCGATTCTTTTTCTTAAGATTATCTCTAAAATCTTTTCCCCGTATATATCATTCATATTTGAAATTATCATCAAGATTCATCTGCATCACCAAAGAAAAATATATGGATTTCAAGTAATGAATCATTTTTCCAACACTTTTTGTCAAGATAATCGTTTCCATTGATGTTTTTTGTTGATTCTGTCTCAAAAACGATGAATCGTATGAGAAGGAGAGTTAAGGTGAGAAGTGTAATGTGCCCTTAGTCACCTTTAATCTCAAACTCATCCATGAATCGCGCTTGATACAAAGATTGATCTGGTGCATGTCGATGCATCTCATCCTAATGTGCATTCAAGGGTGGAGATCCATTTTTACGTTTCTTATTTTAACTCTCATTTGCACCGGCATCCAACCCTTGTCTCCAATTGGTCAGAGCAAAAGTCGGTGTAGCACGGTTTTTTATGTCAAAAATAGTTGCAAGAGTAATATGTTTTTCTTGTGGGGAAGTTGACTGAATTGACATTAAAAAGGAAGGTAGTACATGCTTTGTTGAGATGACCGGATAAAGACATTAAAAGAAAAATGCACGATGAATAGATATAGGGGCGCTCATTTGTTGAAATCCAATGTTTTTAGGTGGATCCATTTTTTATTCAATCATCGATTGGATGTTGGATTTTATATCCTCATCTAGTCAGTCCAGTTCCCTCGATCCCCGTTGGGGAACCCGTTAAGGCTAAAACTCCTCATTCCAGATTGGTTTCTCCGTTCACTGTTGATTATACCTGAACCTGAAACCAAAACCGACCCGAGAAAAATTACAATATGTTAATTTTCACACATAAAAGTAAGTTGTAATTTTTGTAAACATGCAAGTCTAAATGTCTCATCGTCTCAAGCATAACCAAACTAATTACCAACAACATTTTAGATTACAATATAAAGATAAACAGAAGTTCAAATTTTATCCAACTAACATCATGATTTCATGATTAGACAAATAGACTTTTAGTGAGATTCATTTGGGATGTTAAGAGGTAAAGTGGATAAAAGTTTTTTAAAATCTGAATGTTATTATTTTTCTTTTAATGATAAATTTTATATACACACACACACACACACGTATATACACATAATTGTGCCCGGTCGGGTCGGTCTAGTAATCACTGCCCCATCTCCGATAAAATCTCTGAATATGTCCCCAATCCCTACCCCGTCCCCGATAATAAGTCCCTGAACCTAACCTCAAAAAATTTGGTTTTCGGTTTTCATCATCGGTTTCGGGTTTTTTTTGCCATCCATACATCTAATCTAATCCAATTGACATTAGACATCCGATCCAATCAAATTCAATGGATTATTGGATCGGGTCACTTCCATCCAGTAGATATTATTATTGG